ACTTTATTCCAGCCACATTATTTACTAGCTTTTCCCTTAGGACACTGGTGTCCTTCTTCTGGGCCTTGGAGAGGTTATTCCCATTATCTGGAATGCTTTTTCCTCAGATATCTGACTCAGTTGCCTCCCGCTACACTGTTCAAATTCCACCTTCCCAGTAAGACTTATCCTGTTCTACTGTTTAACTGGAAAGCCTTGTTTCTCTGCCCACAAGGTCAGTTCCCCATACACTGCTTGATCTCTACTGCATTTGTTCCCAGGCTTCCCTGGCGGCTCAGTCAGTGAAGAATCCACCTGCAATGCAGGAGACCTGGTCCCATATCTGGGTCAGGAAGATCCCCTGGAGAAGGAAATGGCAACCCATTCCAGTATTCTTGCCTGGGAAATCCTGTGGACAGAGGAGCCTACAGGTGGGCTACAGTCCCTGGGGTTGCAAAGAGTCTGACACAACTTAGCAACTAAACCACACCACCAACTTGTCAGATAATTTACATTGATTTCTGTTCTCCCCTCTGACTAGAGGACAGGCTACAGAGAGTCAGGAGTTTTGCCTTTATTGAACCTAGTGGAGGCCCAGCAGAACTCCAGGGTCTGCAAGAACTGGACACAGTTATAACTCTTATGTTTGGTATTTTCGCAGCCTATCTCAGAGTCAAGCCAGTTATTGAAGAGAATCTGTTCTGATACTTTAAGCAGTATGATAAACTTGAAGTAGACTTAAATTTTCAACAATTACAGAGCAGGCATGGACTCTTCCTTTGTTTCTCCAGACACATGAACCTGGATATAAAATCCATCCTCTCTGGGTGAAGTGGGAACATACAAAGATGACTGGCCTAAGTTTCAATTGGATAAAAAGATGCACAAAAGAGACATGTAAACATTTTCAAAAATGAAAACCATAAAGTGTGTTTCCTCTTCACACATCTAGCCTCTAGTGTGGTTAGAGTGGTGCAGGGGGAGAGAGACACAGAGAAGTAAGGATGAGCGGCCCCGTCTCTCCCTCCTCTGGACCTTAGTGCTCCCTGGACTGTCACTCCTTACACCCAAAGCAGACTTCAGAAGTCAGCACACATGGTCATAATGTACGCCTAGCTCCACAACCCAGTCACTGGGACCCAGAAAATTCTGCAACCTTAAGTCTGCCTCAACACATCATGACTCATATATATCAATGAGTAAAGACACATAAACAGTAGTAGATTAACAAGAATGAGTTTTTACTTATATATAAATTACATACATACACATTTGTACGTAACGCTGGGAAAAATAAGGGTCCATTGAGGCAAATGGGTAGGGGGAGAGAAAGCAGCTAAAGACAGCAGTAGAACTTGCCAGTTCCAAGTGTAGGGAACACAGCCAGAAGTTTGGTTGTCCGAGTTTACAGTCAAACGAGGGGTGGCATAGTGGATGATACATGCAGGTTATTTTCCACCTTCCAAATGGAACTTCTCAATTCTGGTATGTAGTTCTGAACTGGGTGCATATGCTTGTCACCCTGCAACACACACACACCCACATTCCTCACCATGCACATACAACACACACCTACTCATGCACACCGCTGAGAGTATGGTCCTTTGGCTCATTGGAGGAAGAAAGCAGGTTAACAGTTTCACTTAAATGGACGGAGTCGTTTTCCAGCAAAGCCCGTTCATCGTTGCACAGAATCTGCAAAACAAGATATGCTCTTTATTCTCTGAGTTTCTTCACAGAAGAAAGGAGTTTGCTAATGCTCCAGTGAAATCCTGGGCAGGTGATGAAAGTAACAGACCCAGAGCACAGACGCAGCTTCCCTGACCAGGAGCCGCTAAACACAACATTGTGCTCCTCCAGTCAGAGGTGTGCCCTGAGTTGGGGTCCCAGGAGTTCCGAGTACAGATGTTCCTCTCTAAATATATATGGTGCTATCCCCCATCGTACTACGTGGGTTTGGGCTGGGGAGGCCTGGGTGCTTTGTATGAATGGAACACCAGAAGTGTACCCAGTCACAGCGGGTGAGGTGCTGGCCCCCATCACCCGCTCTGTGCTTTGCAGATATGAGTTCCGAGCCCAGTGGCAGTGCTGACACTGGGGCCTCCCACCCTAGATGAGATGCGGCTCCTTCCATGCATTCACCTGCCGGGGCCCAGCCCCGGCAGGACCCAGGGGAGCCCTCAGGATGAACGGCGTGGGCGAATGAGAGAGAGTGAGACAGAGCTCGGGGCTGAGTCTGCAGTTTCTTTCTGCACGGCTCCTCTATACCCTTAACATCTTTGGGGGACGTGCATATTGCTTACACACAGGTCATCTCAAAACATGACAGCAGCTTGACCTTCAACAGAAACTGGATGTCACCCACATATTTTCGTTCACAAGAGTCTTTCTTATCATTTGGCCTTCAGGCCTGCTAACATTTTATGGCTTGCACCTGGTGTGACTTAAGCAACTTCAGTAGCCGACCCTGTTTTTCTTATAATTAATCTATTTTCTTTCTAATAAGCGTCATCTCTATGGGAACTAGATAGGATTACATTTTTACAGAACAGAAATGCGAAGGACTGCAAAAACAGCAGATATGGCACAAAACAGGCTCTTAGTCTAAAAGTTAACTACGTGCAAGAAGTCGCCAGCTAATCCCTACCTAAAGTATTTTCTATGAGGCACATTTGTGGCTATCATGTTTGTGGAGCTTCTCTCACCCCATGAAGGGGCCTATGCTTAATAGTTTCTTTTGTTAGCCTACTGCACTTAGGATGTTTAGAACAATCATGAGCATTTTGTGCAATAAGAGCACACATTTATCAAACAAGCCAGAATGCCAGCAAAAGGGTTTGAACTGAAGCATTTCCTTCATCCCTGGCCCCTTCATAGGGTACCAGCATCCAGGAGATTTATTAATTAGGGTTTTAAGTTGGTGTTTATTCAGTGAAAGAGGAGCAGGAGAGCTCTCGGCAGGCAACACAAGAATCTGCAGCAGGGCAAACAAGAACAGCAGCAGAAAAATGGGGGGAGGATACAGGGTGGGGTAGAGGCCGAGGCCAACCTGGACGGTCCCTTGTCCTAGATGGCCTTGCTGTGAGGATTTTTCCTCGTGACCTCGTCATGGATGGGGTCCCGGATGGCCTTGCCCACCCGGTATTTTCTTCATGACCTCATCACGGGCGGGACCTCCCATAACGGCTCCTGGCATTCACCCATGGTGTATTGGCCAGGTGGGTCCAATACACTGATGGGAAGTGTGGATACCAGGTCCTCCATTCCTGGGAATGATGACGTTCCCTCCTATACCACCACCACTTGGATCTTGGACAGGTGGACCCCTTGTGTTTGAAAATAAGGTGGAACTTCTAGTGGGTTTCAAGCCAGGGGTGGGTCTCACACTTACAAATCCAATGGATGCAGTGTTGTTCTGGTGAAAAGTTGAAATTGACTTGTCCCTTGACACAAATTTCTTCTTCACGGTGATTGGATTTTTAACTGTGGATTTTCTACACTCACGTGGGTCCTGGGTGCGGTGATGGGAAGTGGTAACACCCCGACCTCTAACCATAAGGATGGTGGTGTCCCCTGCCGTGCCTCTGCCACCTGGACTTGGCTCCAGGAGACCCCAGGCGTCTGGATTCAAGCTGGAACCAGATATGTGCCCGGATGCTGGATGGTGGCTTGCCCTTGCCACTGCAGCAGGCACCTGCAATGAGATGACCCCAAGGTGATCTGGCCACAGTAGGAACACAGGTGGTGCTGGGTGTCCCACACAGTTCTGTCCAAAAGTTAGGTGGGCCAGATGCTTCTGAATAAGTGAGGCCTAGGGCATTCACACCAACCCAAAACTCCCACCAGCCATAGAGGCTGCAGGTCCCATCAACAGTGGGCCTGATGTGGTACTAGCAGACAGCAAGCTACTGTCTCCAGTACTGGGCACTGTAGTATCCACTCCAAAACCAGAAGTAGCAGATACATCCCTGGGGAAAATACCTGAGCTGTTAGCAAAGGCCGCCTGCATGTTGATGGTGGTGGTGGAAGACAGGCTATCTGGTAAACCTGAATCCATTATCCTTCCTTGGGGTGGCTGGACTGCAGAAGAGGTTAGCTTTTTATCTTGTGCTAGGGCTAATGGGTTTCCCAGTGAAATAGACTTGTTAGGCTTCTTCCTATTGTTGGCCCCAGATGTGGGTTGAATGGTGAGTTCTGGGTTTCAAGCTTCACTTGAAGCTGTTGATCAACTGAAGAGGTAAGTCTGTCGAGGCTTGGGTCCAGGCATTGCTGCCACTGGGTGCTGTGTTCTCAGAACCAGGAACGGCCATGTGATCTCAGTAGTGCTTCTCTTTGGAGTCAGAGGTAGACTGGAAAGTCAATTCTGAGGACGACTTTGATGTCAAAGCATTGGTTTGACATCTGTAGAGATGCTGACTGCTGAAGCATAGATAACTGCCGAAGCCATAGGTGGGGGTTTGGGGAAAACAGGAGCTGGAGCCATAGATGGGGGGCTGGGGAAAACAGGAGCTGGAGCCATAGGTGGGGGTTTGGGGAAAACAGGAGCTGGAGCCATAGATGGGGGTTTGGGGAAAACAGGAGCTGGAGCCATAGATGGGGGGCTGGGGAAAACAGGAACTGGAGCCATAGATGGGCGTTTGGGGAAAACAGGAACTGGAGCCATAGATGGGGGTTTGGGGAAAACAGGAGCTGGAGCCATAGGTGGGGGTTTGGGGAAAACAGGAGCTGGAGCTATAGGTGGGTGTTTGGGGAAAACAGGAGCTGGAGCCATAGATGGGTGTTTGGGGAAAACAAGAGTTGCATCCATAGGTGGGGGGCTGGGGGAGGCAGGACCTAAAGCCGTAATTCGGGGACTGAGGGAAACAGCCAACGCCATGGAGAGGGGCCAGGGAAGACAGGACCAAAAGCTGTGGATGGGGGCTAGGGGAGAGAGTGGACGGAACCCTAGATGGAGGGGTGGGGGAGACACTGGCTGGAGTCCTACATAGTGCGGCCGGGGAGGACAGGACCCAAGGCCGTAGATGGGGGCCCAAGGGAGACACCAGCAGGAGTCCCAGGTGGGGGCCCAGGGAAGGCAGCAGCCTGATTCCCAGGTGGGGGCCCGGGGAGGACGGCAGCCGGAGCGCCAGACGAGGGTCCGGGGAAGGCGGCAGCCGGAGCGCCAGACGAGGGCCCGGGGAAGGCGGCAGCAGGAGCGCCAGACGAGGGCCCGGGGAAGGCGGCAGCAGGAGCGCCAGACGAGGGCCCGGGCAAGGCGGCAGCAGGAGCGCCAGACGAGGGCCCGGGCAAGGCGGCAGCAGGAGCGCCAGACGAGGGCCCGGGGAAGGCGGCAGCAGGAGCGCCAGACGAGGGCCCGGGGAAGGCGGCAGCAGGAGCGCCAGACGAGGGCCCGGGGAAGGCGGCAGCAGGAGCGCCAGACGAGGGCCCGGGGAAGGCGGCAGCAGGAGCGCCAGACGAGGGCCCGGGGAAGGCGGCAGCAGGAGCGCCAGATGAGAGCCCAGGGAAGGCGGCAGCCTGATACCCAGATGAGGGCCCGGGGAAGGCGGCAGCAGGAGCGCCAGATGAGGGCCCGGGGAAGGCGGCAGCCTGATACCCAGATGAGGGCCCGGGAAAGGCGGCAGCCTGATACCAAGATGAGGGCCCGGGGAAAGCGGCAGCCTTATACCCAGATGAGGGCCCGGGGAAGGCGGCAGCCTTATACCCAGATGAGGGCGCGGGGAAGGCGGCAGCCTGATACCCAGATGAGGGCCCGGGGAAGGCGGCAGCAGGAGCGCCAGACGAGGTCCCGGGGAAGGCGGCAGCAGGAGCGCCAGACGAGGGCCCGGGGAAGGCGGCAGCAGGAGCGCCAGACGAGGGCCCGGGGAAGGCGGCAGCAGGAGCGCCAGACGAGGGCCCGGGCAAGGCGGCAGCAGGAGCGCCAGACGAGGGCCCGGGCAAGGCGGCAGCAGGAGCGCCAGACGAGGGCCCGGGCAAGGCGGCAGCAGGAGCTCCAGACGAGGGCCCGGGCAAGGCGGCAGCAGGAGCGCCAGACGAGGGCCCGGGGAAGGCGGCAGCAGGAGCGCCAGACGAGGGCCCGGGGAAGGCGGCAGCAGGAGCGCCAGACGAGGGCCCGGGGAAGGCGGCAGCAGGAGCGCCAGATGAGGGCCCGGGAAAGGCGGCAGCCTGATACCCAGATGAGGGCCCGGGGAAGGCGGCAGCCTGATAATCAGATGAGGGCCCGGGGAAGGCGGCAGCCTGATACCCAGATGAGGGCCCGGGGAAGGCGGCAGCCTGATACCCAGATGAGGGCCCGGGGAAGGCGGCAGCAGGAGCGCCAGACGAGGGCCCGGGCAAGGCGGCAGCAGGAGCGCCAGACGAGGGCCCGGGGAAGGCGGCAGCAGGAGCGCCAGACGAGGGCCCGGGCAAGGCGGCAGCAGGAGCGCCAGACGAGGGCCCGGGCAAGGCGGCAGCAGGAGCGCCAGACGAGGGCCCGGGCAAGGCGGCAGCAGGAGCGCCAGACGAGGGCCCGGGCAAGGCGGCAGCAGGAGCGCCAGACGAGGGCCCGGGCAAGGTGGCAGCAGGAGCGCCAGACGAGGGCCCGGGGAAGGCGGCAGCCTGATACCCAGATGAGGGCCCGGGGAAGGCGGCAGCAGGAGCGCCAGATGAGGGCCCGGGGAAGGCGGCAGCAGGAGCGCCAGATGAGGGCCCGGGGAAGGCGGCAGCCTGATACCCAGATGAGGGCCCGGGAAAGGCGGCAGCCTGATACCCAGATGAGGGCCCGGGGAAGGCGGCAGCCTGATACCCAGATGAGGGCCCGGGGAAGGCGGCAGCCTGATACCCAGATGAGGGCGCGGGGAAGGCGGCAGCCTGATACCCAGATGAGGGCCCGGGGAAGGCGGCAGCAGGAGCGCCAGACGAGGGCCCGGGGAAGGCGGCAGCAGGAGCGCCAGACGAGGGCCCGGGGAAGGCGGCAGCAGGAGCGCCAGACGAGGGCCCGGGGAAGGCGGCAGCAGGAGCGCCAGACGAGGGCCCGGGGAAGGCGGCAGCAGGAGCGCCAGACGAGGGCCCGGGCAAGGCGGCAGCAGGAGCGCCAGACGAGGGCCCGGGGAAGGCGGCAGCAGGAGCGCCAGACGAGGGCCCGGGGAAGGCGGCAGCACGAGCGCCAGACGAGGGCCCGGGCAAGGCGGCAGCAGGAGCGCCAGACGAGGGCCCGGGGAAGGCGGCAGCCTGATAACCAGATGAGGGCCCGGGGAAGGCGGCAGCAGGAGTGCCAGATGAGGGCCCGGGGAAGGTGGCAGCAGGAGCGCCAGATGAGGGCCCAGGGAAGGCGGCAGCCTGATACCCAGATGAGGGCCCGGGGAAGGCGGCAGCCGGAGCGCCAGATGAGGGCCCGGGGAAGGCGGCAGCCTGATACCCAGATGAGGGCCCGGGAAAGGCGGCAGCCTGATACCCAGATGAGGGCCCGGGGAAGGCGGCAGCCTGATACCCAGATGAGGGCCCGGGGAAGGCGGCAGCAGGAGCGCCAGACGAGGGCCCGGGGAAGGCGGCACCAGGAGCGCCAGACGAGGGCCCGGGGAAGGCGGCAGCAGGAGCGCCAGACGAGGGCCCGGGGAAGTTGGCAGCAGGAGCGCCAGACGAGGGCCCGGGGAAGGCGGCAGCAGGAGCGCCAGACGAGGGCCCGGGCAAGGCGGCAGCAGGAGCGCCAGACGAGGGCCCGGGCAAGGCGGCAGCAGGAGCGCCAGACGAGGGCCCGGGCAAGGCGGCAGCAGGAGCGCCAGACGAGGGCCCGGGCAAGGCGGCAGCAGGAGCGCCAGACGAGGGCCCGGGCAAGGCGGCAGCCTGACCCCCAGATGGGGGCCCGGGAAAAACAGAGGCTCTCTGCTGCCCATCAGTAGCTGCAAATGCAGGCTGAGTGTTGGTTTGGGAGTGAAAGGCATAGTTAAAAATTGAAGAGACCATCGGCACAAATGAGCTGGTGGTGTCTGGTCTCCCTGCAGTGTGTGTCTGCTGCACCCCAACACCTGGGGAAGACTGAAGAATTACAGCCTGCGAAGGGGGGGTAGTGTCCATGTCAGTGACGTCCTGATCTGGAGGAGACTGGAAGGTTACACTTGCAGATGCTGTGACTGTGGTGGTAAAAGGGACCACAGTGGAAGTGATGGGCTGCTTAGTTGGATCAGGGGGAGCAATGGGATGGTTTGGAAGAGGGGTGAGTAAGGGAGGGGGAGAATCTACACACATGGGTGTTGGGGATTCACTTTTGTAGGAGGGTGGCTGGAAGGGGAGGGTTGGGGTGCTCACAGGTTTGGAGAGGTCAGAAATAACAGGTGGTGTTGCTCTGACTGAACTCGGAGTACCTGCATCCTTCTTGAGGGTAATTCCCACAATGGGATTGGAAACTGAAGGAAGAGCAGGACTAGCAGAATGAGAGTCCACGGGGGCTGTGTGTCTTGCCACCGGATCCATAGAAGGTGGAAGGCCAGCCAGACTGGGGAATCTGGACGACAGGTTGGCCAAGTCAGTGGTGGTAGGAGGGACCTGCAACAGACTGACCGGAGGCATGGAGCCTGTGGTCCCTGTGGTCCCTGGGGCAGGCGGGGCGGCGCTGCGGCATCGCATGGCCTTCCTTGCATCTTTCAGGATTCTGTTGCGCTGACGGTCCATGTTTTGTTTTCGGGTGCACCGGGTTTTGGCGCGAGTCATGCCTGGAAGCTTCGGGGGCGGGGGAAGGTCACTGCGACCCCAGGGCAGCGGCAGCGGGAGTGGCAGCGGCGGTGGCAGCGGCGGCAGTGGCAGAGAAAGCGGAGGGGGCATCGTTCTCTTGCAGGGGCGCCGACTGCCGGCAGCTCCCAGGGGAGAAGAGCTTCTCTGCGGGGTGTCTGAAGGTGGCTCACGCTGCAGCGCCTTCCCGGACATCAGTAACTCTGGGGAGCCGGGTTGGTGGTCTTCACCCAGCACCACTTCTACTGGCCTCTCGGGCAGCAGGCTGCAGCACGGACTTGGGGCAGAGAGCACCGCGGCCAGGGGGCCAGGCTGCGAGGGAGGCCGGCCGTCTCCAGCAGTGCCGTCTGAGCACATGGCGGGGCTTTGGGAGGAAGGCTTCGTCCGAGACACCTGGGCTTTCTCACTGAAGTTGTCTTCTGGGTGCCCCGGAAGGAGGTTTGGAGGCTCGGGACTGCACTGGAGGGGCGGGAGGAGCCCGCCGGTCTCCGGGGGCCTCGGTGTCACTGTCGTAGCCCCGCTGCGGTCCGGACTCACCTTTCCGTCGTCCTCTCCTTCGGCCTCCGTGTGACCTTCCTCCGCTGTCATGCCTTCCCTGCGCTCTTCCTGGACCATCGCCTTGCTCTCCTTTGCACAAGGAAGTGGGCGGGGACTGGTTGGTACCGGCCTCCCAGCCTTGGCTACCTGAAGAGGTAGCTCAGGGAGTGAATGCAGGAGAGGAATTTTGCGCCCCAGTGGAGGAATTCTGAGGGTTCTTGAAGGTCCACACCTCATGGAATTACGAGTGGACAGGACGGGCTGCTGATTCGGCCGCTCCCTCAAGTTCACCAGGGGTAGGGCGCCTACGCGGGAGTACCCAGCCTGCTGGATTGGGTACCACCTTTTCGGCGCGCAGTAAAAGCCGGATGATGAGGGCACTCGATCCTGGTTGAGCAGCCTGCGACCAGGTTGTAAAGCAGGAGCTGGGGCAGCGGGGTGGCCCCGGCCAGATGTGGTGGCACCCCGAGGGCGCAAAGCCAGCGAGCGCCGGCCCCGCGGGCGCCGGCGGCGGAGCGTGGAAAGAAGTTTACACAGGAAATTGCCCATATAGGACAGATTGTGCGCCAAATAACCCGAGAATAGAATGTGAAACTGGGAGAGTGTCTCCCTAGCTTCTTACTCCCCTCAGGGTCAGACACGCACTGGAGGGAGGAGGACTCAGCCTGGCATTTGTGACATGTCCATGGTGTACGCATCACAGAGCCATTGTGCTGTGAGGGCACGTGGCAAACTCTGGGGCAAAGGGCGGGGCCCAGCACATGACCCCTCCCGGACTCTCTAGCCCCTGAGACCTCCCACTGTGGGTGGCAGGTGTTTGGCACCAGATGGGCCGCCATGCAGAGACTGTCCAGGACCGTGGGGGCCGCATCCTCCAGAGCTCATCCTATCTAGCACCTCATCATGCAGCCCCCTTGGTGCCTGCGTGTGTATCGGCCGGCCCTTCCCTGCCTGGGTCTCAGAGACCTGTGCAAAGCTGACTGCAGGAGCCACCCACCCTGCCGGGAGGCGGCCCAGCGCCTGTGGGGGCCTCCCCAGCTCCTCGGCAAGGCCAAGAGCCAGGAGCAGCTTCTCCGCTGCGGCTCCGCTGCCGTCATCGCCAGCCGGGATGCAGAGCCCTCACCTGGCCAGGTGCTGCACCCACCACGTCCTTTCCCGGCAGGCGAGGCTCTTTCTTCACTTCTTTTTAGAAATTTGGTGCAACAGTTAAATCTTAGACTGTTCTTCAGTGTGTGCAGACGGTAATGGCTTAGCCAGGATGTGAAGCAAACCTGCTCTGGGCTGTGGTGCCTCCCCGCCATACATGCTTCACGTGTCACTGTTCTTTTCTTGTACTCCTTATGGCACTTAGCCCTAAGTGTCACACCTGTAATGAGTCTATATCCTAACCTGTAGGTTTTCTTTTGCTCAATTCATGAATTGATCACCTACTGCACTGGGTTCTGATCTCAGAAGATGCAGGTTAAGGACCACCAGTTGTTAGCATAGCACCAGCGGAGGTTTTCCCTTTGGTATAGTTTGAAGGATCCAGATATGTAAAGATTATGGTCTAGATAAATCATGGGCTTTCCTGAAAGAAATTTACCAGTGCATTATTCTGTATGGATTAGAAGCCTATTTCTATGGCCTTCCTGGAATATGTTCACTAAGGCAACTCATTCATGTTGAGAAAGCAAATACATCATTTAGTGCAGCTTCATAGTGGAGCACTGTGTCAGTTTAAAATAGTCAGTACAATTTGGTCACTGTGGGCATGTCAGCTTGGTCCACTCTTTACTACCATATATAATTCTAGAGATTCTTATGCCCAGGAGAGAAGTCACACTCTTGGGTGTCTAGGACAAGGGAGACATGTTATTATTCACAAGGTAGAAGCTTCAAAATAATAGGAAAGACCTGAAAACTCCTAGTCTAACATGGCTTTATCGAGTTTGACTCTTGTTTCTTTGGCTTACTTCATTGGAGTGTTTTCTTTCTCCTGGGCTGACACTGTGTGTTAGACATCAGGCATGTGACATACAGAGGTTTCAGAACCCAGAATTGTATTGATCAGTGAAACTTTATTTATATATTTTAGTTTAAAATCTATTTAAAATAACACTGGGCATAATTCATATATTATAAATTAGTTTGGCCTCTGCTCTTGAGATTCTTTTTATAGTATGTGAGAGCAAATTTGGACTTCCATCCCCAATAAGATTTGAGATTGGAGGACACAAAAGGTTTTTCTCAGACCTAAATTCATTAGGAGATGGGAAGCTATTGTTTTCTTCCTCTAATCAATTATATGACCAGTTGTTGTTCAGTTGCTAAGTTATGTCCAACTCTTTGTGAGGCCATGGTCCTCCACTCTCTCCCAGAGTTTGCTCAAATTCATGTCCACTGAGTCAGTGATGCTATCTAACCATCTAATCCTTTGATGCCTCCTTCTCCTTTTGCCTATGACCAGAAGAGATGTCAATTCATTGCCTCAAGTCCAGGGGGACATTTTTACTGTTAGCTAGAATCCCTTACCTTTGAACTGCCCTGGCATAAAATGAGCCTAGGTTCTAATGCTTTATTTTGTTTATGCAAATATTTTAGAGACAATTCAAAGGCAAAATCAGTTCTGATCATTTCTCTTTCCTGGGGTTAGGGCAAAGAAGAGAGAATAAGGGTGAATGTTCATTCCTGCAAATTAGTGGCAACTGAAATAAAATTGAAGATCCCTTTGAAATGTAGAAAGTGTTCAGTCTCTAAACCATCTGCAGCAAATTTTGAGCAAACACTCCTGCATCCCTGGAAATGGTTTTATGCCACAAACTAGGAATTTCTCCAATGTCACAATTATGTGATTCAAAACAGGTAATTTTCACCCCAATCTCAAGTTTTCATTCCAGGTCTTAGTTAATGCTGTCTTGATGGTTGCTGTTTGATGAATCAGCTTTCCAGTTAACTAGAGGTGCAGGGCCATCATCTAATGAAAACACTCTGTATTTTACAGCTCCCTGGGCTGCAGTTCTGCATATTAAAATGGAATTTCAATCTCACTGTTAGAAATAAAATCAAAACTAGCATCTGTGGTTTGAACAGAACTGAGAAAAATGCTGCTCATTTAATTTTAACAATATTTTTCATGCTAGACAGTATAAAAAAGAGGGCCTGGATATAATTTTAGAATGCCTATAAATTAGAAATAAATTGGTAGAAATCAACACAATAGTTCAGTGCAGGGGTTAGTTCATTATATCTACAAATGTAAATGCTAAAAGTTTTCTCTTCTCATTAGAAGTTTGCCAAAATGTTCACAAATTAAGGTTTCCTACTGTTCTTCATTCACACTGGTAACAGATCATTTTCTATTCCTCCTGTTGCAAATATTGAGACTCTCTGGTCACTCTCTGAAAGTCTGTTATCTCTCTAGGAATGATTGCACACTCAGTCAGGAAGAGGAATTCAAGAGGAAGATGAGTGAGAAATCAGTTAGTTGCTATAAAGATCAACAAGCAATGCCAGCAAAGTCATAAGTGTTTGCAAGTAGAAAGACCCTTTTCTCTTTTCTTGGGCAAGTGGGAGGGGTGTATGATTGTGCAGTTAAGTGTCTTCCAAAAAAAAAAAAAAGAATATTTTGAATGTAGGAATTATTAATATCTTTTTT